ATGGCCCATGTTGCTCATGAGGGAAGTTTACTCTGACCATATAAGGTGAACCCAGAAATCTCTTTTGCCATTATGAACCATTTCACTGACCAAATAGCCTAAAGTGTATCATACAACTTGAACTGATAACCTGTAACTCACAAAATGAATTAAAAACTGACTGTTGCTGATCAGTATCCACCTTAGTAATACTTTAGGAACCTTGTAAACTTCATGTTGCTGTTAAAATCATAGATAAATATGTATTTCAGACTTCTGTTTAGATCATTAAGTAAAATGATTTTACAAACCTTTTCTTCAATCACTAGGATGTCTTTCACCATCATCATGAGAAGAATCTCTGTCTCACAAAACTGGCCTAAAAATATTTTCTAATATCCAGATTCTTTTTTGGGTCTCCTTTGTGTACAAGTTTGTGGTGGAAATTAGGTACACAGAGGTGTTGGTAACTTAACTTATAGCCATAATTGTATATCAAATGGCCACTGATCTCTTGGGGACACAATTGGGGTCATTAGTAAGTCCAACTGCTCTGAGTTTTTTGTTTTATACCTTGGACTGTATGAGATGCCATTAGCACATTGTACTCAAGTCTTGTTTTGTCATTCATATGGTGGAAGGTTATGATTATAACTTGTGAGAAACTGAGCTGTGCATACTCTTTAATGAGAAATATCTTTTTTTTTCATTATACAGTTTACATTATCTAGTATTCTACAGTTTACTATTCACTAAATTAATCTATCTTTTAAAGTATAAAAGTTTAAAGTTTTGTTTTGAAGCGTTATGTTTTATCAAAAGCTATAGAAATGGCTGTGTGCTTTACATAATAGCTAACTTTTATAAATCATTCTTAAAGATTGTCTTCTATCTTTACACAACTGTATTTAAGGATATTATGATATGTATTAATCTTATAGAATTTACTTTTGTATTGTGTGAAATTAAAATATATTTCTATTGTTTTTGGTTTTGTGTGCATGTAATGTGTCTGATGTTGTCCAGTCTTAAGAACATGAGTCCAATATATCAAGTTAGGTTACAATTAAGCAACTAAGTTAGGGAATTAATCCTTTTCATGCCTGAAAGGCACATAAGATGATCAGATAACTCCTGTTTCCTGTGGCATAAATGGATGAAAATTATGAAACATTTCTTCTGGATAGGTTGCCAATCCATTGCAGGTTAAACTCCAGCTTTCTGCTGGTAACCATTACACAGCTTATAGACTAAAGTAATTGGGGAAAAGTGTCTTGCTGAAGGACACAAAAACATGTCGTGGACAAGCCTTGAACCTATAACCTGTTTGACTACTAGGCCACTCTCCCTTCAATTTAATTTAATTATCTTAATGTAAGAAAGGGTGGAGCTATTGTATGCAAATGTAATGGCTTTAACTCTCATAGTTTAGAAAATCAATATATCTTTGCCCAAGTATACTCTTGTAATGTTTTCAAAATTTCAGCACAAGTTCTCTGGGCATAAATGATTTATGTAAACAAAATATATCATCTTAATCATGCTCTTTAGCAATCACCAGTTGTCAGGACTAGATTGTAGGTATATTTTTCTTTGTATGTGGCCCTGTGAGTAATTGACTTGATGTGCTTATGATAGGAACTGGACTATTTTTTGTATATTGATGCAATCATTAACAAAGTCTATCTACTCAAGTTTTGCTTTTAGCTTTATTGTTAAGTGATTCAATTTTCTAGCTTGAGAACAGACATCTTTTTTTTTTGCAACAAATACACTGTCTTCTGTTCAGACCTTTAATTAAGTCGAGCACTATTTTATAGAAATCCCCCAAATTTTTATTTCCTTTAAAAAAATGTATATTTGTATCCCTGTAAACCTCTGAATTTTTTCTACTGAGTTATGTTACTGCATCTTTCTTTCAGTGAAGGTTAATGAAAACTTGTGCTCATTTGATCTTTGCTGATATGCATCAGGTAAAATTGATGCATTTGTGAGATATGACCCTTGAGTGATCATGACATACAGTTCTGTTTCTCTGTTTTTATTTTAACTTAAAAGTTTCTCTGGGTTGTGAATGGAGTAATGACAAAATTGATTTGAAGCATGTGGCTATTTCAATTACATGAGGAGAGGGTTGGAAATCACAACCTGTCAAAAAAATGAGGGACTTATGAACAGTTTTCTTGTTTTAAAACAAACTGTTTGTGGCAGAAACATTAAGCTGGAAGGTAATTGTTTAGACTGAAAATATATTGATATTTTAAATTTTGGGAGGTCAGCTTGGTTATTCAATGTGACACAGTACATATTTTAATGCCATATATTTTATTATCCCTATATTTTCCCATAGCATTCTTATTTATGTGTAATTTTCCTTATATTTGTAGAAAAGACTGCTCTATAATTTAGTGAAATTCTGCTTGAAGGTCCATTGAATATATGTTTCAAACCTTAATACAAGAGCCAAAACTGTGTATGGTGCAAAACTGGATATCCAATTTCAATGTTTTTATTACAAAGCTTAAAGTTTTACTAATTTTTTTTGGCTTATAGAAAAGTTGATTTTAAAATATGTAACAAACCAGATTAACTTGTTGAGATATAAAAATTATCAAGCAGTAAGTTCACACTGAGGACATGAAAGAGACATGAAACATGCTGTTTTTAAGTCCATGTAATTTAAATATCATTTCAGTATCTTAATGTAACTGGATATGTCTGTGTAAAACAATTGGTACACAATAGGTACTACATCTATAATAGTAATTGTCTCCCTCACTATAGCCCAAGTATTTACAGTCTATATTGCAATGTGGAACTTGGAATGTAATGTCATACCATTAAAAACCTTGGTGTTATTTTGCTTTATGTTTTCTTTACCTGAAACTCTTATAGTGAGTGTTATGATTATGCAACTGAAGCTTTAAAATTGTTCCTCACTTTGTGGTATCAACAACTTGTATAAAAGATGTATAACCTCTCAAAGTATAGTTCTAGATTTGCCATATAATCAACTTTTTGATAATTTGCTGTCACAAAAGTAGGTTTGATTTCAAAAAAATGTTTTTTTTTACTTAAAAACACAAAATGTTATGCAAAGATATCATTACAGGTGCATCTAGATCTCTGACTTGATATTAAACAACAACAAAAACTATCTGCTACAAAATATCTATGAATATTGCTTCTGCTCATGCTTGTGTAGTTAATAGTTCTGATCACATAAACAATTTAGAATAAAGAAAGTAAACCATTTTACTTTATAGCTGTATCATATTCTTTAACTCAAATTATATTCTAATATGTAAATAAAACCTAACTTTAATTAATGTACTAAAAACAGTCAGCGATAATAAAAGGGGTATACATTTCAGGATTAATAACAAAGCTTTGAAACAAAAGTGGCTGTTATTTGAGTATGCTAGTTTTCTTCAGGTGAATTTAGCTGTGTATTTGTTACATGGACTTCTGCCTTGATTTGACATTTAGATTATGCTTTGGGCTCTATGTCGAATCCTGCTTGAAACCTAATGGATTCAACATTGTTAGAAATATCTTAACACTAAACCAAAGCACAAGAAATACATAAAATACAACCCAAGGGTACCTACCCTTTATTAATAATAATTTTCCAGGACATTTAGCCATTCTTCATGACACTTTATAGCTTTGCATCGCCCCATCATATCTACCCCATCCTCACACCTTTCATTTTTGTTTTTTCAGTTGAATTCCATTAACCACCTTTTAATTTAAGTATGCTATTTAATGAAATGATTAACTGTTATTAAATCAGATAATGTACTTCATCAACAGATAGTGATAGTTTTCATAAAATTGCAGTTTTTCAATGGTTTTTCCAGAACACTTGGTTTTTCTCTATTTTCCATGAACTTTCCAGGCCTGAAGATGTTAATTTTCCAGAATGCATGGAAATCCTGCAACCTAGAAGAATATTAGCTGTAATATGTGTTGAATAGAGAAAAATGTTCTGTGCAATGAACAGTATGCACATTTACAAGCAGTAGTCTGTCTCTAATATTAAAATATTTTACATATTTAAAAGATAAAAGGTTCATCTTTGTTCCCATGTCATGTATAGAGTAGCAAAAGACTAAAATTTTACAAAGTTACAAAAAAACATTAGTAATGCAGGTCCAGCTAAACAGTTATACACTACTAAACTGAACAATTGTAGTATGCTAATAGTATAGCATACATTAAATAGTTCTGTATTTATTTGGGTAAATTTTTAAAAACTTCAGTAGAGACTCTCTTTAGATGTTTTAATAAACAGTTTGTATGCAACTGCAAGTTTTACCTTTAGTTGGTCACTGATGGTAAAAACTAGGTTGTCTTTATGTGGCCAGTACAGTAGACTAGTGTTTCCAGAAGTGGGAGCCATGGCTCCCCAGGGGGGGCTGTTAAGCTTTTTTGGGGGGGGAGCACAAAAAATGGGCTGAAAACAAGGATGCTGAATTAATTTTAATTCTAAATAAACAATGAGCCGATAAATATTACGTTCAATTAATTAAATGATACAGTATGTTGAAAGGAGATGTTATTAGGGGGTATATTTTAAAATCACATTTTAAGGCATTTTTATAGGTTGGGGGCCTCAAACATTTTTATTCACATCAACAGAGCCTCAGACTAATCTTCAGTTCTTTTCACTGCATTTGATGTGCTAGAAACTATAGTTTCCCTTTTTGATAAATAAACTGGTCTTAATAGAATTCTGGAAAGTTGAATATAGTTACAGGTTAGATTTGTTTTATTGTCAAGTACAGGTGCACAGAATTCATTCTGCATTACCAAGAAGCTGACCACTTTAACAAAAATAAGTCATGTGCCAGTTTTAGCTAACCTTGTTTGATTATGGATAAAGATTTTTTGTTTTAAAGTGAAACAATTGGTTTTAGTATTGTTTCCTTTGGTTGAGTTTGCATATTTTTTTTTACAAACCTCTCGTTTTGCAGGCTTGATCCTTACCTGTTGATTTCAGTTTTATCTGAGAGTACCACATAAAGCTGATTCATTATATAACTAAATGAAAGTTTATTCAATAAAAGAACAAAACATTCTTTGAATAATTGAAAAAATCATTCAGTAACTGTACAGTGTATATTCAAATCAATATCCAAAGGTCATCTTCAAAACTAAATGTCACACAATAAGATGATCACTGTGTAGTATTTAATCAAAAGAAGTAGTGTTTGAGATAAAAGGTAGACACCAAACTAAAGTTCTCAAAAGCAGAATATTCTCTGGTTGTTTAAATAGTATGATGTTAGTTTGAATAGTAAGCAAACTATGTCATTCATTTCAAACACTCAAATTTAAAAAAGTATAAGCAACTTGTACATTTTTATCAATTGACATGTTGCATAGTGAGTTTGTAAAAGTCTAACATTAGCATGTAAACATGAAAATTAAAGATACCACACATGAAAGCATGTAATTATTTCATACAGCAGCAAAAGCATTTTATGCCCAATTGTAATTCATTTCCATAGCTGTTTCATACACTGTAAAACAATGACATTGAAAATAAACCCAAAGCATAAAAAAGTTTGCTAAAACACAATCGAAGTTAAAAGTTTAAGTATTTTCATATAGATTGAGCCACTTAAAATACTATATCTAAAAGTCCCCTTTAAAAGATAGAGCATATAAGGAACTTCAACATACAAAGCAGTCATACATACACACTGTTTTATTATTAATGATAAGTATCACCTGTGTCCAGTGTTATTCAAAGAGTTTTTCAAAACAAGGTTGACAGTACGCCTTGTCATTCTGTTCCTTGAAACTTCCTTTGTTGAGTTGCTTCAAACAAAAGGAGCACACAAAGTGTTCTGGATGGAATTTACGGCTCAAGGCTGTGACACAGCGGCCAGAGATGGGCATGTTGCAGCCAGCACAAAGTGAACCTTGTTTAGCATGATAGTGAATTTCACAATAGGGTTGTCCATCAATATTGTAAAAGCTTCCCCCATTGAATGGCTGTTTGCATTCCTAAGAAAAAAACAAACAAAATAAAATAATTTTGTAGCTGATACTATAGTTATATTGTTGGATTCCATTGACTAATAAATTCTTGCATTGTTGCATCAATATATATATATATACTAGCAGCTGCAAAGAAAAGGTTATCTGTATCATTACAAAATAAATGCTAATAATAATATAAACATTAACCAGATAATACTTCTGTGGCCTAATTTTCTACATGAAGATAAATCAACTATACATTATTGATTTTCCTGTTTATATCCAATACCTATCCTTGGTTATAATTAAAACATTTTTTTAGCCAAATTTCGTTAAATATAGGCCCCATTTTCCAGCACAATAGTGCATTAACTGTGTGAGCAAGTATCAAATTTCTGCTTTTATAAACAAAATAATAATCATATCTATATATTAAACTGATTGAAGTCTTCAACTCTATAAATACATGCATCTGTTTGAATAAATTTACTGTTCAAACAGTGTGTGTATATTACATATTTGTACAAGCTGGTGAAATGTAATGGTGTGGTCATTTATTTTTGCAATGTATATATTTCCTCGTTTATGATTTGAACCTGATACCTATCATACCCTAGGTGGATGCTCTACCAACTGTGCTAAAAGGATGATCTGCTATTGCTTGCCAGTAAGTCACTTTTTAACAACTCAAACTAGTACATTTTTCCTTTCTTATAACAAGGCCAATCTTTAGGCATAATTTCAAGGTCATGAAATATATGTACATTTTCCTGTCTTGGATTTGAATCCAGTCTTATCACACCCCAGATGAGTACTCTACTAACTGAGCTAAAGAGTCAACCCACTAGCACTTATTAGTAAGTCACTTTTTAACAACTCAAACTACTACAAATGTATATTGAATATTATTTTTTTTAATAGTATACGTTGCATAGATTTTGTTAAAAATATCAAAAGAGTAGTTTCAAACTACAATCATACAAGCTGAACAATGAGATATTGTTAGATATTTACAACTGTTTCTGCTTAAGTTTAATGTGAGTGTTATGATTTAGATAGTTTATGTAGCATGAATGTTAAACTTAGTTATTTTTAGAAGCAATAGTTTATCGCAAGTTTGTTTACATAACTGTTTATGAATCATATGTTGTGAGTTCAGTAGTTATGAATTGGTGATTGTTGTATTAATGCATGATGTTACTAGAACCTTCTGGCTTTTTCTTGAGTATTATTGCATCATAATATTTGTTTGTGGAACATTCTAGACCTCTGTCAGGGTATAAATACAGGTTGAAAATTTAGTTCAATAGATCTAGACTGCATGATTGTGAATTTAGTGATAAAGATCATATAGTGACGGTTTTTAAAGTGAAATTATCACAGACTGTATTGTAATAACAGAGTAGGAAAGACAAATTTGTCTTATCAGTTGTGTTCTAAGGTAATTGAACTAGCGTGTGTGGACTTTGACGAAAAGAGACAATTATATAAAGCTTTGGAAACAAGCGTGATAACCAACAATACAATGAACATTTGTATACACATTTGAATAGTTTTAATATATTATTTTTAAAGAAGTGGATTGTGTGTTTATTGTTGAATTTTATTGACAACAAGTCACAGACACCTACTGCAAAGATAGATACAATTCTATATGATCATGCATTTGAGGTAGAAGAAAACCTGTTCTCAGTCATACATAGCATAAATGTTCAGAAATCAGTCATATGCTCTGGTATATGAATTTTTAAAAGTAGAAATATGTAATACAAATATTACATGAAATTAACTATAAATTTGAAACAGTAAAATGGTTATATCTGAGTTAGCTTAATTAATCAGGTTAATTGTTATCAGTAGCATCTTTAATGTTTTATCAAGTAAACAGGAATTTTTTTAACACACAACAGTTGCTTAACAGTTGGCATGTTTTGAATCTATTCTTAATCATATACATTTTTTAAAATAAATGATAATTGGAATTTGTAATTCTAAAGCTCTGAAAAAGCAAAACCCATTGTTATAAAATAAAGTCATCACCCCAGGAATAACCACTGTTGGACCTATAGATCTCTATATCCTCAGGAATCATAACATTAATGATACAGATTATAGGAACCAAAACCCTTTATACCACCATGTTTTGATACTATTGGCAAAGGTTTCAGCCTAATGGGTGATAGTGTTCACTCCCACAATGCTAAACTTCTCAATACATTGCTTGAAGAAGAAGAAAAACAGACTGACAAAATGGCATAGCCTTCACATTAGTCAGACTTAAGTCCATAAAGTTTGTGTGTGGGATGCTGTTGGGAGCTGATTCATATTCTGTCATACAATTTTAGATACTAAAGATGCCTTGGAAAGAATTCTTTCAGTGGAAAATGCAAGTTCTTATTCACTTACTTATTCAAATTCTAGGATTATAAATTCTCATAAATCCAACATCGTATTCCTCTTCTGATTCAGAGGGGTTTTCTAATATTTACTGATGTGGTATTTCCAGGTAATACTGATTTCCTCAAACAGTGAATAAGATAGACCTACTATATAATGGGAGATTCGACAAGATATATCATGAAATAATACTGAATTTCTGTGAAACTGACTGAAGTTGTGCTAAGAACTATACAGACTGGACACAGATGGGTAAAACACAATGAAACAATTTCTATTATAACACAAAACGACAATGCATGTGTTTGTTATCTGTGGATAATGGACAGTCACTTTTACTGAAGAAGTAGATTGAACAGATTTGCATTGTCCCTCAAAAATTTGTTCCATCTCACTCAAAATTCTGTTTGAGACTGACTAAAAATCACATTACTCAGTTAAATCATTAACGTCAGACTTACCCAGAGCAATTAGTACTACTCATGTGACTGGTCATTCCCATTTAAAAGAAAGGGAGGTTGTAACTTCAAGATATCATTTGACATTACATTGGAGGACACTGTTGTTTACTTCCATACACAAAATGTAACTGTATAGCTATATCCCAGGTACAATCTCAAGGGAATGACAAAGACCAAAGGTAGCTAGAACAAAAGCAACTTAATGACTTTCCTGACCACATGTTATGTGAAAATTGTTCATACACCTGTATAGTTGAATTTGTTGAAAAATTTTGTATTAATATAAGAAGGTTGGAAATGTATACAATACCTGCATACCAATCAAAAATTAATCTGAAAAGGCATAGTTGTTGATCTTCATGTAGGAAGGTACAAAAAGACTTGAATGTGAGTATGGTATTTTGTTTGCAAACAATGGTTTACATTGTTGCTGGTATTGGTGGTGTTTGCATCACAGAGACTTACTAAAAGATTTCATGAAGAAGTTGAGAATATTAAATATATGCTCTGAAGCTAGAAATTTGAAACATTGCATTTTTAAGTAGTATCATTCAAACATAAGCTGATAAGTTCAATATCTCATCAGACATGATGTGTGATGTTCCAAAGAAAGTTGCAACTTCAGGTATAACCTGTTTAAGTTTTTTTTAGTGAAAATAAGAAAATTATTACACAGCTGTAACCACAAGCTTAGTTCCAATGTGTTTTAAAAATAGAAATAAGTTAAAACAGTTTCAGTTTTAAAGTTAAAACTTCAAAATAGCATACCAGTAGTGAACGAGTTCAGATACTCGGGGTGCAAACAGGAATATAATGGTTCCACCACTTGTAAGCTCTACAGTCAGATAAGTGGGCATTGTGGTTTTATAACTACCAATCACTATTTGACAATGTGATATTGTGCACACATCTGAATCTTTCCATATTTTTCAGAGGAGTAGTCCAGGGTACCTTGGGACTTATCAGCACTCCAATTTTAAGCATGCAATTTTATTGATATACTTCCTTTGTTGTTCTTGTTAGTCATATTTAATACTGAAGTGAAATGTTGTGAACTGTAAAGATATAAAACCATATCTACCAAATGTTCATTTATAAAACAGGATGAATGATCAATTAGTTCCTTCAGGAAGCATGATTGATCATCAGATGTCTGATCTGCACAGAATGAATTGAGGAGGGTAGTTAATATTTTATAACACTGGATTTGTTTTGAGGAATACATATTTCAACTTGGTCACGATAATAGATGTACAGCTATAATGCTTACAGTTCATCAAAAATGAAGTGATTTCTGTAAATAACAAACTACAAATATATAAAACACACACACACACATACATTACAAGGATATTATAAAGTAGTGGTCCTATTCTAATGTCCATAATTGAAAATTTAATCACCAGTGAGCCATGATATTTGGTAGATAAACTAATACAATGATGTGAGAAGCAGTAATTTTATGGTAACCCTTTCTATACACAATAACAATTTCCATACCCACTGGTACAGCAATTTAAAAAATATACAGAATTTTCATAAATCATGTTTTCAAAGTAGCAATTTAACAATATTTTAAAAGTAGCTCTATAATTGTGCAGAAACTTTTTTCTCATGCATTTTCAGTGTATTTTTCTATTATATGAATGCTTATTGACAAAAAACAACAGTTCATAATATATCCTCGCTTAATATAATTGTAAGCAAGCTTGTTACCCAAAATATTTATTCTACAGTAACTTTAAACCAATGCTATAACACTTGTCATTCATTTTTACTAACATTCTAATTATGTAGAATTATATATGTACTGTAAGAATAATGATGTGGAAACTTGCATAATCATGTTGGAACAATTACTGCCACAGATCATTAAAGTATAATAAATATTTTAAAACTTTCATTATGCTTGTTAGATATTTGCTTACAAATGAGCTACATACAATGTACAGAAATTTTAATAATGAAAGAGCTCTATGAACCACTGCCTATTCTTACATCTGATGCATTACCACTTAAATGTCATAATACATTAACTAAGCTACCTACCTTACATACAAAACACTGAGAGTGCCATTGATTGTCTAGTGCTGAGACGTAGTTTTCTGTGATGGGACGCTTACATCCACCACATTTTACTCCAAATAAATCAAAGTAATCCTCTTGACAATAGGGTTTTCCATCTTTTACGTGGAAACCTTCTTCATCAAACTGTTCACCACACTTTGTACAACAGAAGTGATCAGGATGCCAGCTCTTATCCAAAGCCATCACACATTTCTGTCAAGTTAAAAAAAAAAAAAGTATAATATCAACACATTAGAGTTGCATTCCATTCAAAGTTACACAATATTCTTAATTTATGCTACAGTGGAATAACACTAAAACTTACACAATATTAAGCTTATTGCTTGAAATGTACGTATATATATCAAAATGGATAGAAAATATTTTTACTTTGAGCTTATAACAACACACTGAATAACTGATTTTTATTGTTTTAAATTCAAAGTCTTTGTCTTGGAAGCCCGTAGATTGTTGATATCTTTACAACTCTTTAAAATTTATAAACTTAACACTTATAACAATGTAAATGGATTGAGAGAATAAAAATAAAAACTCACATCTAGAATCGGCTCATTGCAGTAGGCACAGTGAGGAGAGAATATATTGTGATAGTCTGTTTCACAGTAGGGTTCTCCATCTTGCTCAAAAAAGCTTTTTGTCCCAAGCTCCTGGTTACAGTGTTTACAAGTGAAATGTTCTGGATGCCATGCTTTTCCTAAAGCAGTCACCACCTATGATAAGACTTGATGTTTTTCATAAGTGATTCCTTAGAGATAGATAGATTTAAGTTCTAATAAGTAAGACCTTACAGATAAAGTAGTGGCAAAACACACACATATATATATATGATAGTTAAAGATTTTGAAATTTAAAAGATCCTGTGGACAGTGATCATATTATTTTAATAAACATTACTTATCCTGTATTAAAGGTAATCTAACATACTTCTATTTAATTTTATTGATGTGATCCATAACTCTGTGAACTATCTGTGCTTGGCATTAAGTATAGGCAAACATTCCAGGGGCTCCGACATGAGTAGGGGCATAGCCTTAACTTATGCCTAGGATGTCAGTTAAGCTAATCACTGGCCCTGTACCTATCTTGATAGCTTCATTAATGTGAGTACTACTAAAATATTTTACCAATGTTTTCAAAAGTTAATTAACCAATCAAATTCCTGATAGAAGAAAATAACAAAAAGCATTTTTAATTGTATAAATGTAAATGAACACAAAGCTAACAAGGAGTTTCAATAAATAATAATTATAAATGCAGTCTTCACTTCATTTAAAAATAATAAATCTTAGAAAAATAGAAAACTTGCATATTCTTTTATCTAAACTAATATCTATAACAGCACTAGAATGCTAATAAATGATATATAATTTGTTAATAATTTTAACTTCAAACAGTACAAAGTGTAATGAAATCACTTTAACATTTTTGTTTATTATTATTCCACTTGTAATGAAAGATTTGTAATTAGGAAGATGAAAATGCAAAAACCATAAGAATAGAAAACCAGTACAACATTGGTTTATAGCATTATTTATATATATCCATGTTGAAAATGTTATGGAAGTTGCTGTAAGTATTTTATGTAGTGTATACAGTTTACAATAGTCGTGAATTTCAGATATAACTTTATTTATTTTTCACCATACAAAAACTTGTGGATAGTAACCTAAACAATCCCTTAAGTCTTCATGTTAATTAGTTACCAATTTTGTTTTTTCATTAATAGATACCAATAACTAACTAGTTTTTATCCCATATTTTGACTGCTGATCTGCTTCTATCGTCATGGAAGTTCTGAGAAGAATTGTTTCTATGTTGGTTGTGGCCAGGATTTATTCCTATGTTTTCATGATAGAGAAATTGGTGTCTCCATCATCAGGACTTGAAGCAACTAACTTATTTCATGTTAGTCATCTGTGTTTATCAGACTCTTGAATTCTAACATTTTTGTTTCCATTTCTACAATGTATTGGAGTCTGTATTCACAAGGATGTTGTAAATTGTGTTTTTTTTCTCTCCACTGGGTCGTTGATGCCGTCTTTCTGCTGTGATGAGTTGATTTAGAATCAAGTCATTTACCAGTACTTGTGAGTTTCCTGTAAACTCCTGAGGCGTACAAGTTTTGTGTCTTGGTAACCATTATGTCCAGGAATGGGAGTTTGCTATCTCTAATTTCCATTGTGAATTATATCATGGAATGTTGTTTGTTCAGATGGTTTTTGAATCCTGTCTGTACAGGTACTTCTGTAGTATGTGTTTCTATATTCTGAATATATCATTAACATATCTGAGCCAACTAATGGGTCTTATAGTGGCTGTTTTATGGTTCTTATCTTTAAAATGCTCCATGAAGAAGTTACTGAATATTGGTGAGCCCATGGCTAGGCCTTCTTCTTCTTGGTAGTATTTATTTTCAAATAGATTATGTTATAATATTCTGGAGATCGTTCATTGGGTGCACTCCTTGAGAGTTCTATCACTTGCTAGCTGTTGAAAATATTTGTAGTGTTTCAAGGATAGTACTTCAGTGAATAAGTTGAACACGTCAAAATTTATCATCTTGTTTTGTGAAGTTACCATGGTTACTTTTATAATATCTACATAGTGAAATTGCATTCTGAACAGTGAGGATGTTTGATCTGTTAAAGGTGGTAAGATTAATCTCTGCAATTAACTATAAGACAGAGAGAGTAGCCTTGGTTTTGAACTTTAGATAGACCACACATGCATGTGGTGATTCTGCAATATACTGTTACGTCTCTGCTTGTTTGTTAATTTCCCATAGAAATTCTTTTCAAGAAACTTCAACGATACAAGTCCTTTCTTAATTAAAACTAGTTTATTCTTTCTCGTTACAAACTTTGTAATACACTTAATTTCCACAGTCACTTTAACTTAAACACACGCTATAATTCACAATGATTCAAGCACTTGACTTATGGTGCCTACCTCTTACTTGACTCAATTATCTGTCTATCTGCAATTATCTCTCCGCTTTATTTGCTGGGCTTATATACTAAAATAGAGGGTACCTAGAAAAGACTAGAATTGCCAGGAAAAGTCAAGATCCTTCAAGAATCTCATGACATGTTACTAGCGTCACGTGACTTCCACTGTAGTAACAATACTTTTAGATGTTTGACTGTTTCTGTTCCAAGTTCTTTAATATGTTTCTCTAGAAGCTGGTTACCTGTTGGGTTAGATTTCATCTTTTTTAGTAGCAATCTTTAGCTGGCGTTTGGAGCTTGAAGGTGTATTTCTCTTTGTCTGTGATTCCAGTGAGATTACCTTAGTCTGCAGATCGAGTTGTTATGCATTGTGTTGCCTTTCTTTAAGTTCATGAGCATTGTTTTTTAAGTTCAGAAGGTATTGTAATAGGATTTACATTTTATGGTTTTCTAGACTGCTGACCTTGTTTTTATTTTGAATTACTCTTTTTTCATCTTCTTCTAATAGTCTGTAAATTGGGTCTTCTGTGGTTGTAACTATATCTAAGGTGGGTACTTTGTTATATTTTAAAGTATGGTTTAGTCTTTAGTAAACTTTTTCATGTTCTGATATATATAATGGTAATTAGCTAAAGTTCATTACTGTATATTTGTGTAGGTGTCTGTAGTGTTAGAAGGATTCTTGTATTGTGAAACAGTCAGTGGATGTAGTTTCTATATGTGTATTTCTGTGGTATGCAAATAGGTTGGTGCAAAGTTTGAATATTGGTAGTCTATGTTGACTGTTGTATTACCTATCTTTTAATACAGATCATTAATGTTGTTCTTTGTCTTGTGTTTACTTATGTAATGATATTTAATACTATTTTGGAACATGGCTTTATTAACTTTCTGAATTAATCTTTCACATCGTATCATTAGTATCTAGTATTCAAAAATATATATTAGTAACTAATTAACAAGTTAGCCTACGGTGATTGCTTAGGTGACTCACCATGTAAACAGTTGATATCTGATTGCTACATCATTACTAGTTTGTTTAAACAAATGTTTGAACAATAGTTCAAACTTTGTTGTTGTTAATTTAATATTCCATTAAAATTCATTCTGTATTATACACTGAGTATTATGTAAGGACCAATATCACTGTCTGATGTACTTTCAATTTAGTATTAATAACAAGATCTCAGTTACAGTTATAATCTTAAATGCAAAGTATTATAATTCTAATAAAAATACTTAACAATATGATGTTTTATAAGTGAATACCTAAGGGAAAAAAAGATAGGGGCACGTACCTGCCCAGCAATGGGCTTTTTACAGGCAGCACAGTGATTTTTGGCAGAGTCCAGCTGATTTTTATGACCAGAACCTGGTTGAACAGAAGGCTCTTTGGATGGTTTCTGAGATTCACCACTTGACTGTCCCCCATTGTTCATCTGTACATTCACATGACAAAACAGGTAAAAATCTAAAGTTTTCTACATGTTTCAAATCTTTTTTTCTTATGATGTTAAACACGTTAAATTTTTATTTAAAGTTTTGAGCAACATAAATAATACACCAATTGTATGTTATGGTTATGATCCACAAAAATTAATAATTTTCACAAGACAAGAGCCTGGATTATACAGATTGGAAAGATTTTTAAGGCTATTTCTGTAGCGGACCAAAGCTGAAAGATTATGAAAGTAGAACACCAGCCAAGACAAATAGTTGTAACCATAACCTGCAGGTGACTAAGCCATCACTCACTAGCACTAGTAAACTCTGATTACCCCAAACTGCACTTTTTCTTACTGATTAACCAAACTTTCCCACTTGTTTAGAAGGAAAAAAAGGTAAAAAACTGTTTCCATATCACAATATTCTAAATGTTCCAGATTCCATGATATGGTTTCTTTGACAGGGATATTCCCCATAATCATTAACCTAGTGTTTGGGTTTTGATAATTATCATCAATATGAAAACTACCAAGGCCTAAATACCATGGACATACTAAAAAATAACAATATTAATACTTTCCTTGCCTTCAGGATTGTAGATCTTGTTTTATACAATTTCTCACATCCACATTCATGAAACCTCCCAAACTCTCCTCCATAGCAGTTGCCATATTTTATTTAAATGTTACCACCATTGTAGATCATGTAGTTTGTTTTATCATACATTCTTCATCTCGAACTCAGGACTTGTGGCCTCCTGCTACTGTTACCGTATGCTGAGCTTGCATAGCTTTGAACAGTTCTTCCCACAACCTGTCTTTGTTTCTAGTTCTTCTATCCCTCTCATGGATCAGGTAACATCTGTCTTTGTTCTTGCTACTCTGATAACTCAGGTATGTAACATTTTTACTTCAGTTGTGTTTGTTAGGTTCTTGGACAAGTTTTTTGCATGCATCTCAACTCATTATACTTTTCCCTTCTTCCTTCACCTGATAGTTGCATTATTGTAGAGTGTTTATGTCTCTGCTTTGTGTTGACTCTCAGTTCTCACATCCTCCTTGAACTTAAGACTCCTTCTTTCTAGGCTGTGATTGGATTTCTTCCTCTTTTATATTGTTACTATCCTGTGAATCTCTTCTCTCAGCTTGGGAATTTTCTTCTCCTGCTTGACTCTCTTTTACTCTCAGAGTGCTTGTTTTGTACCTTTGCTTATTCACCTTAATTTTCTGACCCATTTACTATTTCATTCTGAGGCTCTGAATTGCTATGCTAACAACTGACTGAGGAAGAATGCACTAACCTTCTCTTCATGCTGCCACATTATCTTCTTCAGTTGTTGCCTAGTTAACATTCTTTCCTTGTTTTTTGGGACATACTTCATCATGATGCCTTATTTTTGAGAATGAAACTCCATCATATTTATTTCAGGAAATTTGATTTGACACTTCCCTCATATAGACATTTTGAGAGGAATTCCTCATCCTTTGGCCCCTTCGTGGTATTCTCTCTCCCAAGAGACCAACCAACATGGGACTTGGTGATCAGCTGCTTCTGAAAATACCCATCAACTTTGGTCCTGTGAGAGTTTGGCTCTAGCACTTTGTTCATCTGTGGATTCACTTTGGTGGAAATGCTTGGGTCACATAGGTTTCCTCTCAAGAGCTTTTTCACTCCAGTCTGCTTTCATCTAAATCCAAAGAGCTTTCACATAGAGAATGCACTCATTAGGTCTGCATTTCCACCACTATGTGAAAATTTGGCATCTCCTAGCCTTGTCCCGGTAGCAGCGGCATAACTACAAAAGATGGACCCTTCCACATTAAAAGTAATTGAGCTCCCTACATTTATTTCCCTATAATTGTAGCTATGATTCTGGTTGATTTGGCCACCCCCCCTGCAATTGTGGGAGCATACATATCCCATTGCCTGGGAGACATCATCTGCTACAACCCTTTTCCTCCTTTGTGAATCTGCTGGTCAGGGTCCTAAGTCAGTATCTGATTCATATGAGAGTCTTTATTACCATGTTTGCCAGATGGGTTCAATCTTTTCCTTTACATTTCCAAGATATGGGGCTTCTTGTTTTCAAGACTCTTAATGTCTCATTTTCTTCCTGTGCATGGGGGTTTCTTGCCTCTCTCAATCATGTACCTTCTTCATCTGGATGTGTCCTTCAGTGGACTCTTTCAGATCAATGGAATGTACACTGTGATCCACTTTTTTCTCTTGTTTCTCCATCTCTTTACCTCTCACTGTCATAGTGGCTCGAAGTTTCCATATGACTCTGAGAATCCATCTTCCTTCATCCTGCCCATGCTTACACCTGTTCACGGATGCCTCTCTAGGTGGGGTGGGTTCTGTATGCCTTTACCATTTTCACTGTTTGCTCTTTCTGACAGGTCTTTCCACATCAGTTTCCTTGACATGTGGGCAGGTCAGGGGACCTGCTACCATCTTTTGTTACAGATGTTTGGGTAACCTGTTTTAATGTATTTCAACAACTCCACTGTAATTTCTTACATCAACTAACAAAGAGGTTTTTCATTCTCAAAACCATTGCTTTCATGTTTTTGAGCTCCATTTTTGGGCTCATGATGACAACATTTGGATGTTGGTCTTCTGTGTTCTAGGAACTTAAAATTTAGTGACAGATATGCTGTCTTACCCAGAATGAATCCTATCAATAGAGCGGTCATTTGATCTCTTGTTGTTTCCATGGATGTGTTCCCAAAGACCATGGTCTGGGACTGATGTCTAAAAAAATGGTCTTTGCACTATTCCCTCTTAGTCTGGATTGGCCTACCCTATTTCAACACACCTAAGATCCTTTTCAGTGTCTTCCCAGGGTATTGTCATTAATTCACTACACCCCTCTTTGGTCAGCTTAGTTGTAATTTCTGCTCCTTTGCCTCTTGGCAATTCTAGGGCCTTTGTTTTTTCTGTCTTGGAGGTTTCTTTTTACATGAGCCTTGTACATCCATCTTTCACCACAATGTTTGACACCTTCTATTTCAAGTGTGGCTTTTGTAAGACAGGCAGGTTTGTCTCTCAGTGTTACCTGTTATCACTCATACCAGCCACTTACTCTTGCACTTTATCACTACAAGTGGATTTATTATCAGTGCTAATCCATTTGCTACTACCTTCCTTCACATCATCTGAATATTCCTTATCTTCCTGTTTTATTTTTAGGGTTGTCTGTCTGTTTCTATATAATTGCATTTTACAATGAGCCTTTGTCAACAACTTTCAGTCTTGTTTTTCCTCTCCATTTCGTATGTACCCTTTTAGAGCCTTTCTAATTAGTACTTTCTTATTCTGGTAATTATTTGGCATAAGTGTTTCTCATGTACTGTATAGTTTGCTTGATTTATTGCTCAATATAATAGCCACACTACTTATACATAGTCTACCAATCCCTTGAAATAGACAATCAACTGAGCATCCCTTACATTATTTCCACCTTTGTGACTGCACTACTACTTGTATTGGGTAAAGAGTATTCCCTGTTTGAGATAGATGCTATCTACCACCAAGTGATGCTCATACTAGTCCTCCCCAAGTTGGTAACATATTCTATGGATTTTCCCTTTCTGTCAGTATAGTTTGAAAAAGGATCTTATATTTTTAATTTCTTTATCTGTATTACTATAGCAGTTCCTAAACCATCTTCATGTGGGAATCTAACTAATTGTCCTTTGTAGAGGTGAGTTGCGTTTCCAAAGTTAGCATTTATTTACCTCAAAATGTATTTCAGATAGATACCCCTCCACAGAACCAACCACCCTACCTCCCCACTTTCTATGTGTCTTTTGCTTTGTCAATAATAAGCTTTTGGTATACACAAAGTGCTCAAGGTGAGTGTGATGCTTGGAGGATGCATTGTCTCTGTTGGTGAAGGTGTATAGTCTAATGCTGATTGCATCATAGATGTGCACAGCACTCATTATTACATGCACAAAAACTATTTGGAAGTAGCAAAAGTATTAGTTATCTATTCTGTGGAAAGGTGCATATTTATCAGAAATACATTTTCAGGTAATGAAGATTTAACTTTTCTCTGAGAATGTTCAGTGTTAATATAGGCCTAAAATTACTGGGTTTTATTAATAACAAGAGGATGGTGGCATACTATAAAAATAACTTACTTTCCCTTCAATCACAACAAATTATTAAATTCAGTTGAAGTTTTAATTTCATTGATAAACTTAAAGGAAACAAAACAGCAAAGATTAAACTACAGTTGAGCATTACATTTCAATAAACTATCTTACTGTTATAATAATTTATTTTTTTTCCAAAATATACTTACCTCCACTGCTACTTATAGCTATTACCTGACTGCCAGGGTTTCTTTTTTGTCCATCTAAGCATTAGTCAGATTTTTTCTTGTATGCTTCAGTCTTTTATACTCCACTCAATTGCCCTTGTCTTGTGATACTCTCCACCTATGTCAATGCGCCCTCTATCCTGGTACTGTATATAAGCACCTCATTTAGATAATTTTATCACTTTTTCTCGACAAAGCACCACTAACGGGTTTCTCAGTATTAAGCTGCATGAGGACTATCTCCACTAGCCATCCCTAATTTAGCAGTGAAAGACTAGAGATAAGGCAGCTAGTCATCACCACCCACTGCCAACTCTTGGGCTACTCTTTTATCAATGAACAGTGGGATTGATCATCACATTATAATGCCCCTATGGCTGAAATGGCGAGCATGTTCAGTGGGGCGAGGATTCGAACCCACGACCCTCAGACTGCGAGTCAAGTGCCCTAACCACCATAGTGAGATGGAGACACGATTTGGATCTGTGTTGGTCCTCTGGAGGCTCTGTGGCTACATTTGAGTGTGATCCTTGAATTTAGATTTGCTTTTTCCTGTACCTTCTTTTAGTCTGTTGGAATTTTCACCCCAGTCAGTGGTAAGTTTGCAGACTCACAACGCTGGAGTTCAATTCCCTAAGATGAACAACTCACTTTACCATGATCTTTAAATGACCTATGAAAAATGAAAAGGGGCCATTTTGGGATAAGCTGCCTTTGACTTGTTTTTCTTCTGTTGGTTCTTCTTGGGCTTTTTCCTGGTTGATTTTTAGCCTGCAACTTAATTGATGGTTGAAAGGTTTGGGAGTGAATTTTTTGTTTTTCTCCATACATGGAAATTATGGGTCATGCTGGAAGGTTTACTTCTTAGTTATGTAAAGGCACAGTTAGGCCTTACCAAACACATCGACGGAACTTCGAGATTTCACCTACCACCACCAGGTGGAGGCATTTTTCCGACTTAAATAATATCTTCCCCTCAAATTTCGGAGTTCTAAGGCAGAGTTTGTAGTTCACTTATATAGGTCTATGTTCCCTGATGGGACAGGACAGAGTAAGTCTATGTACTTACAATTCAATTCCACCTTTCTGTTTTCTTTAACTTCACTTTGTTAGAAGACTCTCACGTTCACCAGTTTCACTGAGAACTAGCTGGATCCATTGATAGCATGCACCTTGGTTCAAATTTCAGCTTCTACATTCCTTCCGGTTATTGTTGGAGTCCCCAATTTCTTCGGCTTCTACATTCCTTCCAGTTGTTGTTGGAGTCTCGAATTTCTTCAGCTCCAACAGGGGGGTCATATTTCTGCCACTATTCGTGAGTATCTTTCACCGACATCAGTTCCTCGGTACATTGGTGCTCAGAATAGATTCTATCTATATTAACCATTTCCACTGCTTAGTCAGATTCCCAGCACCATCAGTGATTATTGTATACCTTCAGGAGCTGTGGGGGCTTGGTTCCAAGAATTTCTGGACGTGTGGTAATCTTAACCATCAGTCCAGAAGCTCTGCAGGTCCTTCGGTCACAATTGTTCATTCAGCTCACATCATTCCCACTATTATCCACCCAATCTGTAGGGGTTCTATCTCTCGTAGTTCATTGGGAATTGGATCTAGGGTTATCTGAGTCTAGTTGGTCTGGTGGTAGTGAGAGAGTTGGGCTGGTTCTTGAGAGTTTTTATTCCTGTCAGTTGTTGTGCCTATAAAGATAGGAGATTGATGTCTAGTCATTGATCTTCCTTGTCTATATCAATGCACAGATTCTCTAAGGTTCACAAGTTAATCATTCCATAATCTGTATAAATATTTTTACTGGGATTGTATATGTCAAACTTGGTTGTTGTCTGCTCCTATCTGCACTTTGTCTTAGCGGTAGAGTCCCACCACTATTGGCATCGGCTTAAAATGGGTTCTGCTGTATCATATAAGTTTTCTCATCTCCTTCATTCCATTGTACTGTGCACACACCATTCCATGGGCAACTGGTTACTGCTGGCAACATCTTATCAATTGTTAGACCATCACATCGTGATTCTACTTTCTGATACAACCCAGGTAGGCTTCTCTTTTGGGACTGCAACATCTATTCTTGCTCCAATTCAATATGTCATCAGTCTGGATATTTTTTATTTTTCATCTCATCTCTCAGTCGGGCTCAGCTGTCTCCCATTCTGCTCAATGCTATAGAATAGGATGCCACACTCTTACTAACCTCTCCATCTCCCACTACACAGATGGCTCTTTCTCTTCTGGGAATCGTACACATCTGTTTCCTGGTTTCCCCAGTTTCCTCGGTCAGGAACATTCTTCGATCTCAAGGGGTTAAGTTGGGACGCTACTGCAATTTGGGTTCCTCTACTGCCACCTCATCCAGAGTTTCATTCTCTTCATGAATGCCTTGCTTCAGGGATGGGATACATATACCAATATTCAGTAATTCCAAAGTCTTTGCACGGATGAGGAGGATTCCCTACACAATGTTTTCATCCTTCTTGCTCTTTAACAGGCAAGGCCTCATAGTCTGGGCTTCTTAAGAGGTAAATCGCCAGGCTTCACTCTGACTATTCCGCAGTGATGTCTTAAGTTTCTCATCAAGGAGGCATGTGGTCTAGGGTTCCTAATTCTTGAATTTTGGACCTCCTTTCTCGGAACTAGTCTTATCTTATCACCTTTCTAGCTTAACATGATCCACAGGTGATGCCTATGATAGTAGGTCCATTGTCTCAATCCAAACAGATTCTCCCAACAGAATTAATGTTGCATTGCAAGGTGCAGTTGGATTGCCTCTCATTTTGCAACTCTAATAGTTGGGCTGGCCTCCCATTGGATCGCCCTAACTACTGTTAATTTGGTTTCCACTATCTCATCTTTGTGCTTTGGCAATAGATGCTTTCCATCTGGACAGGATAGGATTACTACTCTCAACCTTCTCTCCACATCATATGTTACCCAGGGTATGAAATATGATTTATTATAATCTATTGTAAGATCCAGTTGATTGCACCAGATTGCCAGTTACACCCATGTTTCTGTTTCTGGGGTCTTTTCTGTTGTGTCCAACTCTTCCACTTTTTTTAGGCTCTCTCTGTGGAGGCAGCCATGATCGAATATGATGCACCCATCTATCCAAAAGTCAAGCTTCTGGCATAGAGGTTATGCTGTCTTTCACATGGCATTGGGGTATAATTTCTAAGATTGACATGTATCTGGCTTAGTTTCTGCCAAGTCCAAAAGTCACTTTTCTTGAAGGTAATGACATGCATATTGGCAATATTGTATTGAGAGGAGGTTGAACCTTTTTCAATCAGGGGTGTAAACCACTTGTTTTTTGGCTTGGCTCTTTGACAGAGGTTTTTGCACCTTCCACAATCACCATTGTTTAGGGTGGCCTTATTGACCACCATTCAATTATCCAAACTTATTTTTAGGCTCCAGTACTCTCCAGTTTCCTTACATTGTTTTGGGTAATTGGTCCTAAATGACAATTCCAGTTACCTAACAGGTAGATTCAGGTTACGTGTTTTTTCTCTACACCTGTTTGTGACCCGACTCTTATATGCCATATATTCCCTTTACCTGCAGGTTTATTTTTCGTAGCTGCTGACCTACGGACATCACCAGTCAGAGTGATTTGTACTGTTTGTTCACAGACCAATTTCTCATTCTCTCTCTGTCCTCAGACCAGTTCTTCTTACCCAACACTGTCAGACAGAAAAAGGATTCAATCCTTTTCTCCAATTCATCTGCTCACTTTCTCTTATGTCCAATCACATTTTTATCTTGGTCATGCTCAGTGAGGGTCTTAAAGGTTTTGTTACCTGCACATATACCTTTAGAGATACTAGACAACACATAATTCTGGGCTCTCTTTGAAGGCGAGGTATCTTCTGTGAGTCACATCTACTCAGATTTCTCTTTTCTACGTTCTTAGCAGCATGGCCGAATTGCCCACTGGAGGTCACTATGTGGACTGGTGTGTCCCAGTACCTTTATCTCACATTATTTGCCTGATCTGGCAGTCTCTTCATCTGAGGGTTTTTGCCTACCCTCTGGAGCTATTTTAACTATTTTTGCTAGATTATCCAGAGGGGTGAGTATTTTTATTTCTACTTTTCAAGGTCCTTTACCTTGTTTTCACAGGATCCCACAGGGTGGTTGACAGAGGCTTTTCTTCCAGTGTGTTAGAGTAAATTCTTCCACTCTTGGAGAAGAGGGCAAAGTTGGAGGGCCCTCCTACCTGGGCCCCTGGATGTTTTTTCCCAGATGTCAGTAGGAGCAGCACCAGCCTATATGGGAGCCTACTCATAACACCGGTTCAGATTTGATGCTCAGCTATCCAGTTGGAGTGTGCATGGCCCTTCTTTTTGGTCAATATCAGTTCACTATATTAGTCATGGAAGGAGGTCCACTATCCCCTCATAATTTTGAACATGGAGTGATCCCATTCTTGATCTTTGGTTGAACACAATTGTTCCATGGTCTCCCCATAATTCCAGGGGCAAGTGGAATGCTTCTTGCCCACTTGGTTGAAGAGTGAGGATGAATGTTCATAATTCCAGACTGGATGAGTTTTGTTCATTTGGTTGATTAAGGCATATACGGTCCCGTTATTCCGAGCCTGGGATGTTGCCTTTTGGGCTTCTTCAGGTGGAGGAGAAGGTGTGTCCACTTCGGTGTTGCTTACTTTCTCGTTATGATTCCGGTGTTTCTGAACGCATCACTCTATGGCTACAGGTTAGGATCCAATCAAAAGTATATCTATATATAACATTGTGGTCCCATTGCCATAGCCACCCTTAATTCCAACTCCAAGTAGTGGAACCTTGGCTGTTTGGTTAGGGCTAGCCTATAGTGCTGGTCACTCATGTATAATTCCATCCTTGATATGGGAACTAACTTCAGGGTGAAGAGCATACCTGTTCTAAATGTAGTATGGTTCCCCAACTCAGGTACCACTCTTATGTAGGTACACCCATGATATATGCAGATGCTTTCTGTGTGGATAATGCCCTCACCAGCCCCTCAACCCCCTCATTGTGGGATTCTAGCTGTAAGTGGCAGTGGAGGTAAGCATGTTTTGGAAGTCAACATTTTCCTAAATTGAAAATGTATTTCCAATAACACCTTTGCTGATACTCTCCCACCCTTGCTTCCCACTAAGAGGTGTTAGAGACTGGGATGGTATCAGTTTCAAAAAAATGATAAAATTATCTGAATGAGGTTCTTGTATGGAGCACCAAGATAGAGGGTGCATTGCCGTAGGTAGAGAGTATCACAAGACATTTATTGTCAAGGGCAGTTGAGTGGGGTATAAAAGACTGGATCAAGCGAGAGAAAAATCAGACAAATGCTAAGATGGGTAAAGAAGAAACCCTGGTGGTCGAGTAATAGTAATAAGTGTCAGCAGAAGTAAATATTATTGGAATTACATTTTCACTTAAGGAAAATGTTAACTTATGTATCAATCAAGTATACTAAGAAATATTTACTTTAAAGTCGGAGAGGGAGGCCATGAGGTCATCCAGATCATTAGTGGCAAAAGAGGCCATTGGTACAGCAGATGAATGATAATCAGCTGGTTCTGGAAAGCTGAGATTTGTGACTGTCTTGTGATGGACAGCTTGGAAAACTTCAGGAGTTTGGTTATTTCTGATAGAAATAAACAATTGTCAACGTTTATCTATAATTTATTCCTAAATAAAGCTGGGCAATTGACTCAATCTGTTGCATATAAAATAGTGTTTCTTATTATTACTGATTTTGATTATTTTAATTAGCCAAGTAATTGAAATATTGACATCATTATTTCTCATTATTATTTTTGGTTAATTCAGAGTTGTTCAGCTTTATTGATTAGTCACAGTGTCATGTTTAATGAAATTGATAAACTAATTTGAGACTACTTACATTGGTACTAAGTTGAATACACACATAGTACTGAGAGAAGATGTAACTTAACTATCATTAAATTATACATTTTTTTTTTTTTGTTATGTATCTTAGACATCAGACATGTAACATGCCAGGCAAGTGCTTTACCAACTGAGCTAAAGAGCTATCTCTTAGCACTTGCTTGTAAGGCACTTTTTTTAACTACACAAACTACTAAAACAACATGGAAAGAAAATTGTGTTCCATGTAAAAATCACTAACTGGAAAACAAGTCTTAAAATTGCATATCTCATTAATGTACTATATTTCTTAATGTACTAAAGTTTTAACAATTTTAACCTTTATAATGCTTTGCACACCTGTCCTGCCAAAACGAGTATTTAAAAAAAGTAACCATTTTGTATTATGTAAATAATAAGCCTTTTAAAAAATGTGTATGTTTTAAACATGAAGTATAATTGTAAAATGTATTTTATTAAGTGTTTTAATACCATGTTTATGTGCCTTAATAACCATGTGATATATGACAAAAAACAATAATATGTTTTAATGCTCTGACACCTGTTTTTGAGCTGGATAGGTCACCATCTGCCTGACACTAACTCCTGAGAGAGAATGCATGCTAGGAAGTCTGAGAGAGTTCTACATTAATGAACATATGTTCTTTGACACTGAGAACTTGGTTTGGTTACAAAAACAATTTCAGATGTAAACTGAACAACTTATTTTTCCCTGTCAGTATGGGGCATGCAATCAACAAGTAAACTAACTAATCAGCTACATTTACCCAATTCTTTGATTACTTTTTTCCATAAGAAAAGATAAAATTTATGCAAGTTCCTATTGCTGAAAAAAGAGAATTTTTTCTATATAAGGAAATATACTTATGCAACGGGATCAGTCTCTGCGTAAGTGTGTGTGTGAAAGCACCAACACACACTGTCACATATATAGGTAGTAATATTGATAAACTGATTAACATAAGATGTAAGAACCAACAAGGGAGCTATTGGTCCATCTAGGCTGTTGCATAACATAAAATTAAACTCAAAAAATAAAATGCCCAAGACCAGACCTTATAATTTAAATATTTATCAAGCCTTTCCTTAAAATCTATTAAATTTACTGCATCCACTACATCTGAAGGCAGTCCATAAATGCAACAATACTGTTAGAAAAATATAACATAGCTGAAGATGATTCCTACCCTGCCAAAATTTGTATTTGTGTCCCCTTGTCCTTAATTCTACAAGTCTCACCATGAAGTATGAAAATAGATGATGCATTGACACTATAACAGTCTTAAACACCTCAATCATATTGGAAATGATTCATCTTAAGGTGCTTCAATTAGAATATTACATAGTTTTCACACAAAACAGTTATATTGCATTACACTTTGAAACATACTGAATGTATAGATATATATGAATATAGAGAAAATGAAACTAGCACATAATTTTATCATATTGAAACTTTTCACAAAAGATGGATTTTTGCTTTTTACTTCGTTAAACATCTTTAAACAATTGCATTAACTTTGAATTCCAACAAATTGTTCTCTCAACCAAACATAATACTATTCAAATAACTATCCAACTAAAAACTATACGTATGCATATCCTATTATTGTATATACAGAACAAATTCCTTTATTTGAAATGTAGATGTACTACAAAATTAAAAATTTATGCTACTTGAAAATCTAAAATAAGTAACTGCTCTATACTAGAAGCTATTTTTAGCACTAAAATATTACAAGTATGGTTTATGCTACATGACATGTGATTACATAGAAGTGATGTTTTTACAAATATGAATTAGATTTTGTAAGTTAAAGAATGACATGATTGAAGCTGTATAAAACAAAATGCCTTGACACTAAATGAAACTAAAAAATGAGATTATAATGACCTGAAAATAGTTGTCAGAACACAAGACTCAACCTTAAGGACTCTACAACACAACAGAATCTAATTCTTGGTCAAGGTGTGAAACAAGTAATTTCTAACACTAAATTCTAGTGACAATAGGTATGTTTCAGTGAGTGATGTAACAAGTGACAGCTTGAAATAACAATATAAACAATATATGTTAAGTTGGTGAATGAAGAAAACTGTGATTATAAGTACATAAAACTGTGAGTTAACTTCTAGACAATAGTAACAACACTAATTTCTTAAGACTTAAAATATGGTGCAGTAAGCTAAAGCATAGTAAGATAAAGGAAATATGATGTGATAATTAATAAACAACAGTTTTCAAAAAAAATAAACTGTGTATGAGTAATGGGTTGAGAAGAAGCATTGAGCCATAAAATATTTTGACACTGTAGGGTTATACAATGCAAAAATAAAAACTGGTATTTAACACCATACATGAAGGAAAAAATTATTGTTTAACAACAGCTTACATAAAGTTATAAATGATCATGTATAAGAGAAGCAACAGTACACACACAAAAACACTACATTAAGACATAAGTCTTATATTACTGTAAATGATGTCATAAGGGAAGACTTACAATGTATGGTTGATCAACTCTTGGAAGACAACTTGTTCAGTCTACCTAGTTTGGAAGTGTGTTGTTAGGGGTTGAAATGATAGCCAAGACTTTTCAGTGTGACGACATGGACCAGAAGCAGTGAGCTAAATATAGCTTGTTGGGTTTGGCACTTAAGGTACCCAGTCTCTCCTGTCTCTCATTATTTACATGTATAATATACTGGATTGAGTCACAGCACCAACTTTTAGAGAAAAAAAAACAACAACAACAGAGCTTTGGATCCATAGATGCTACCAATAAACTAATTCTTTAAATGCATAACAAAAAAGTGTAATTCATGAGTACAGCTGTACTATGTCAAAAATATGTCACCACCCCCACAAAAAAAGACTGTCACATGTAAAATCCAAACTAAGCTTTAAAAACATCACAACTACTATTTAGAACAAAGATATCCTCAAGTAAATTCCATGGGCATTACTCATACACTACACACTCTGGAATATTGTCATGAATCATCCCTGGCTGTAAAACATAATCAACTATATTCCAACAAATATTCTAAGAAAGGGTCATAACCTTTACCACAAAAAAAAAGGTAGGAGTATTTATAGTACAGGTTGCTTGTGGAACTAAAATGTAGTATAACACTGAATAGGCTTGTTAATATTTTATGTTGTATTGACAAGACTATGGAGGATTATATTGTGGTGCTTTTTTTGTTGTTGTTTTTAACATGTTTTTTTAATATTAAGTGTATTCAAGTTTAATGTTTGCATTTATTTTCAACATAAGTTCACAAAATCAGGAATTACCTTCAGTTATAGTTATGTTCTCCATTAATGTTTGAGCCTAATAGTATTAATTAAAATTACTAAAGGACATCAAATGTGAGTACCATCAACTGTATGTTTAAGAATATAACAATCACTTAGGTAGCATCCGAGGCTGTGATTATCATTATCAACAGGACATGCCTTGTTGAAAGATGGTTTCACCTCCAGTACAGGAATAAGACTTGGAAAAAAAACAACAACTAAAACTTATTCGACTTATTTAAAAATCTGGGCAACATTCTGGTCATCTAACAAACTGTTTTTTTTCTTTTCATATTACCGTAAAAATTGCATAAGAGTAACTCGTGTAATGGAGCCATGTGCAATTACAACAGTTTATAATGATGGTTAATGCTATATTATTCAAAATTCCAATTATCATTATCAACAGCACATGCCTTGTTGAAAGATGGTTTCACCTCCAGTACAGGAATAAGACTTGGAAAAAAACAACAACCAAAACTTATTCGACTTATTTAAAAATCTGGGCAACATTCTGGTCATCTAACAAACTGTTTTTTTTCTTTTCATATTACCGTAAAAATTGCATAAGAGTAACTCGTGTAATGGAGCCATGTGCAATTACAACAGTTTATAATGATGGTTAATGCTATATTATTCAAAATTCCAATTCTCCTTTAATTGTTTCAAGCTGTGTACTTTTTCTGAATACATGGAATTTTAGACTTGTAGTTAGATACTTGTTTTGATGAAGTGACTAGCTTCACACAAGGTTCCAAGCTAGCGTATCCAGTTAATACTTGCCATTGATAGAAAGATCTGTGATGTTAATTGAAATGACTAATACACAATTATCTTATAAAGTTTCTACATCAATAATCTGTTGTTTAAATACTGAGGTTTTGCTTTGTACACACACAAGGATATCGAAACTTCACTTTTTGGGTGAGATATTAATTATGTAAAAGGTAATTAGTTAAAAAAGTGCATATCTTTTGATGATGTAACTGATACACAGTATACAGATATGCTTTTGCATACTAAGACTATTCAGCAGCAAATAAAAGTGATACATTGTTTAATTTAGTTTTCAATGCATAGCTTAACACTAGTTATAGATCACAGTGTGTTAGAACTGAAGGTCATATTTCTCTCATGGTGACAACATTTGGAGGTTCAGTAATAATGGTCATTTCAGTTAACATTTCACATATAATTTTTTCCAAAAACTCTCAATGTAAAAGTAGACAAGTGTAATTTGAATTTATAGTCAGTAATGAGATAGCCAGGACAATCACAGTTTAATCTGATCCAATATTACTGCATGTGTTTATGTATTTTCTTTTATCTCTCTCTTTTCTCTTGTACCATATCGATAAAAAAAACAACATTAGAAGCAGACATGGGTGTGCTGCTTTTAAAGCTAGCAAATTCTAAACAGCATTAAAATGAGCCTCAACTCATGTTGGT